CCTTCCGTTTCCTTTCCTTGTTCGACCTTCTTGGCCGTGAGGAGACGAACTTCACGTCCTCAGCGAACGTAACCGACGTAACCCTGAATTTGACCGGTTTCCGGGTCGACGTAGTCGGTCCCGGTGATTCATCATCAGTTGAGCAATCCGAATCAGCGTCGCTGTCAACGGACGAACAAACTGACTCTTCATCATGCTGTCTTGAGGATCTCTTCCATATAGCTGGTGCTGATGGATTCCACCTTCGACACAACCTGATGGCGGGCGCAGCTGGGAGTGCTTTCGCCTTCGCATTCGGCTTAGCTGCTGCTGCCTTAGCCTCGGACTTGGCCTTGGCTTTTGCCTTCGGCTCGGGCGCAGGAGTAGCCGCAGCCTCATGCTTGAAAGGACAATTCTCCCTTGAGCACGAACCAGTATTCTTGAATGAATAGTATATCCGACTTGCTCCTCCGGATGGACTTGGAGTTCTCGATCTTGGCGTAAGAGGTCGCTCTGGAGTCTTCTTGGAGTGGCTGAGTGGGCATTTGTCACCATTCCGACACCCTGCATCTGTGAAATGAAACTTGCAGCGGATGTGCTTCTTGCTCTTGTCACCCTTGTTGTCCGCCGACTCACTTCTAGTTTTCTTCTTCGGCTTCGGTTTGGTCTTTGCATGACTCTTCGCCTTGCTCTGAGGCAACACGGGAGCCGCATTGTCAGGCTTTGTTGGGCTTGCCTTAACCTTCGGAGAAGGCGCTGCCTTTGGCTGTGTCTTATTGTCAGGTGACTTAGCCGGTGCAGCGAGCATGTCCTTGCCCTCCAACATTTGACGTAAACCGATTTGGGTCTGAGTGAGATTTGCTTGTTCACGTCTTCGCACGATGTCACGATCGATGATCTTGATGAGGTTCTCGTACGATCGATCTTCATGGTTGTAGGGTCAATGCTCACAATGCATACCCAACTCGATCTTCATTGCTGGCGAATCCTTGATCTTGCTGTACAAGCAATCTCGAAGAGCTGTCCTGGATGGTATGTCCTCCGGTCTCATCCGTCCAAGGACTTCCAACCATGTCTGTTTGAACGTATGAAGCTTGCTGTCGCCCTGGTACTGGAGCTTCACCAGATATTCAAGCGTGATGATCATGTCAAGACGGTCATGTGTCCGGAAACTTTCGTACATCATTGCGATGATTTGCCGTCCTTTGATGATCTTCCCTTCAGGCCGACTAACGTAGTCGTTGGCCTTCCGGTTCACTTCCAGGTACAGATCAGCGGACTTGTCACCACCGGCGCACAGCATTGCTACCATGGCGACTCCCAACTTGACATCAATGCTCTTGAACTTCTTGTGTCCGGAATCGTTCAACGCCTCGATGTCGGGGAATGGATTGAACGCTGGTGCCAGCCACAACATCCAGTCCTCGTGGTTGGGGTCAGCTGATGCTCCGAGAACATTCGCAGTGCACACAGATCGCCAGTTGTTCAGATGAGTGAGAGTAGGCCAAGGAGGTACCGTCACTTTGTCGGCCTCCCTTCTGGAAATTCTCACCTCTGTCACCTCAGGATCTGCGTCTCCATCAGGATCATACGCATCAGGGGGATCCGGATCAGGCTTACCTCCGCCTTTCTTCTTTTTGCCATCACCATCATCTGGACTAGGCGGATCTGGAGGATCACATCCTGCGCCGGCATCGTCCTCTTGCCCTTCGTCTTTGTGCTCTTCACCAGCTCCATCACCGTTATCGTCTCCTTCGCATTCCTGCATCGTTTCAGCGAACAACCTCCACTCATCACGGTCAGCTCGGAGACGCTGTTCGGCTTTCAGGGCTTTGAGTACTTCACTTCGCAACTCAGCGATCTTCTCCTCGTACTGTTCCACGATCTCTTTCTCGAGCTGACGTTTTCTCGCATCTTGGATTGAACTGTCAAATGCTACGGGCGTTGGCCCTTGAACGACGTTGGAACTGAGACCCTTTAATGATGCAAGCACCCCGTCGAGATTGACCGGTCTGGAAGAGCTGGCAGACGCTGTGGAATTTGATCCCAACATCCCGCGATCCTCCAGAAGTTCATGTAATTGTCGATCACGTACAGCTGCTGCATCACTTCGTCCTTGGGTAGGTCCACTTGGGATACCAAATAGCATGGCTGCACTAGGCGTGGAACGCCCAAGTGCTGGATTGCTGGTACGAGGCACGTTGTGCTCAAGCACCGAATCCGCCACGGTTGGTGTTGTCCCATGAGATGAGTTGACCTCTCCCTTCAAGTTGTCGTTCAAATAGCTTCCACTCGTGAACTTTGCGTCGTTCATAGCAAGGTTCTTGTCTCTGCTCGATTCGGAGAATGCGAACTTCCCTCTGGCGACTGGGCTAATTTGACTAGGAGATCGTATGTCAGGGGATCGTACCTCAACTCCTACGGAAAATGCAGGTACTACATCCTTTCCTACGTGTTCCCAGCCGGACTCAGTCGTTCTCGAAGACATGGGCTTGCTCGGAGGGCGAGCTGATCCAACATGCAGGTTGGAACTTCGCGCCGCTTCAAGCTCGCTGCGCGTCCTTGATTGGAGATCTTCTTGTGCTTTAAGCGCTTTCCTGGGTTCGTTCAGCTCGTCATGCAAGGTCGGCAATGCCTGCCTTGCGTGATCTTCATTCTGCTGAAGTTGATCTTCTGCGTCTTGCATCCTCTTCACTGCCATTTTGCGAAACTCTTCCTCTTCACTAAGACGCTCGCGAAGTCGATGTCGTTCCTGGTCAATCGCGGCATTGTTCCCAGCCAACCCTTGGATCTCGTTCATGACTCGCAACTCTTGATTCTTGGCAAGAATGAATCGTTCCTGCATGGCATGCATGGCTTGCTCAGAACTAGCCGTGCTCGATCGGAGGAATAAGTTCTCCCTGGCTTGTTCGTGGAGTTCCTGTGTCAGATGCTCGTACTCACGCGCCATAAGTTCTCCGTCACCTTGAGCTCGTGCCTCCAACTGCACAAAATTTGCAGCTGCTTCTGTTCGAAACACATGTAGTTGGTGAGCCAATTCCTCGGCAACGGCGTGTCCTCGACGCTGTTGAGCAGAGTTCTGCTCATCCATGCGAAACAACGCTGCTTCATAGTCCCGCTTCATCTCCTGATTGACATTGTTGATGTGCCGCATGGCCAAGCATGCGTGATCACGTTGTCGTTCCAATTCTTCAATGCGAATTCCAGATCCCTCATCTTCTTGTTGCATCTCCTTGATCTTCTCCATCAGGGTCTGCACGACTCCTTCGTACTCTTGCACCTGGCTCCGGTAGTACATCTGCTGTGCAAGGTTTGAAGCTTCAAACTGTTGCTGTATCGTCAGCTCCTGATAGATGTTCGGACCATCGGCTATAGCCGGGGTAGCCGCCGATGAAGCATCACCTCGCACCGGAATTGTGCCAAGGGTCATATCTGCATCATCAGCTTCATGGGGATGGTTGGTAACCATTTTCTTCCACGTCATGGATTTCTCCCGTCCCCTTGCAGTCGACGTCCTAGATCGTGCTGAAGAGCTTCTCGAAGATGATGGTCTTGACATCTTCTCCATGGTCCTCACTCCTCTGTCCTTTGCCCTCGACGGAGTCCGGGGCGCCTGAAAACCAGACGCATCGGATCGTCGTTCTGCAGCCTTGCTCGTCCTCGATCCTGAGGATGTTGGACGCGAAGGCGTGGATGCCCTTGGTGAGCTCTTTGCTTTTGCTTTGGGAACTGCCTTTGCAATGGCGAGCGCGGAAGATTGACCTTTGTCATCTTCTGTGGAGCTATCAACGGATTGCACCACTGTGTCATCGGCAGTCGAGTCACCGACCGCTGGCGCTGCCACATCGGCACCGAAAGTCATTGTCGTATCTTGACTTGATCCCAAGTTCATTGTGGTCGTGGTAGATCAAGCAGTCCTTGCTGTAGATAGGCAGAGCCGCGTGCGGCTGATAACCTGCGTGGGGATTTGATCTTGATGATGTTCCTTGTCGCTCACCCCACAGAGCTATATTGAATACTGATGTGGTTGCCCTCTACAAACTCAATCACTGTCCCTCTCACTTCCACACGCAAGCTTCACTCCCAGTGCAGGCAGATCCAGAGCTCGCTTGTTTTGCACCTTCGCGGCCAGCGATGGATCGTCTGTGCTCGGGATGGCTCTGTCCCTCGGAAAGGTCACAGAAGACGATAGCTAGTTTCGCTATTGGCAATGCTTTCTAGAGCTTGTGCTCATTACTTGAGCCAAAGTTGCGTGGGCGGCAATATGGTAAAATGGTTCGGCATTGCGGCGTGCGTAGCACTCCCACAAGCCTACACCTAGAGATGAAGGACGCGTAGCGTGCCTTCACTCTTGACCCTTTACAAGGCCATGCTCACAGCTCATATCGTGACACCATAGAACTTGACTAGGCATCGCAGTCCGCTCGCAAGTAGTAGTAGTAGTAGTAGTAGTAGCAGTAGTAGTAGTAGTAGTAGTAGTAGTACTAGTACTAGTACTAGTACTAGTACTAGTAGTACTAGTACTAGTACTAGTACTAGTACTAGTACTAGTACTAGTACTAGTACTAGTAGTACTAGTAGTAGTAGTAGTAGTAGTAGTAGTAGTAGTAGTAGTAGCAGTAGCAGTAGCAGTAGCAGTAGCAGTAGCAGTAGTAGTAGTGGTGGTAGTATCACTGTGGCATATGAAACAGCATGAAATTGCACTGTAGGATGCTGTAAAGACTAGGCCTAAACATCTAAATCCCTAGACCCTATACCTGACCATATAGTTTGGGGCGTTTCTCCAAACCAGGTTCAAGCCCGATAGGAGCTGAGTGGGGACTTTGACCCATGCTTCTGCCTCGAAGAGAAAGTTGTTCCGTTTTGGTGAGCTTTAGGATTACGGGGTCGATGTAGAGCTTAGGGGTTAGGGTTTAGGGCTAGGGTGAGCTTTGGGAATACATGGAGTAGTGGAATTAGGGTTTAGGGTCTAAGGTTCACCTGTGCAAACAACCCCACTTGACTCCGTTTGAAGTGCGATCCTCAGCACCCCAAACGGTACAGGCACGACGGCTGTCATGGCCGCTGAGCAGGTGGAGAACCTCGGTGCACATCGGAGTTATTATGCTCCGAAGTGAAGGGCTGCAACGGCCGTACTGCGGTTGGCAAAGCTTTCGATGTGGAGTTTGCTGTGAGAGATGGGGTCTCGATCTGCACAGACAATCCCTGAAGCCCCTGTGAATATCAATCATTTCAATGTCGAGAGCTTAAACGCTATGGCAACAAACTATATACTGTAAACAGTCGGAAAATGCAAATGCGGCTTGACAAGCCATCAGGAAACCCCAAAAACGCCTCATGGATGAATTGCGGACGGCCCAGGAAGTTCTCCGGCCTCAGGCATTCAGGATATTCTGCCGCCTTTGCACAAGCAAGGGTTTATCCGAGAATCCTCTCGAGTTTTGACCTCCTAGAGCCGCAGACAGATTCTTGCCGTTTTTTGCAACGCACCACGCCTGGGTGGTATCAGCGACTCGGCGAGAAGGAAGCGGGAAGCGGCCTCAGTGTCCCTTTTTCCTAGCACATCCCCCACCCCCACCCGGTACCCCAACCGGATGTGCCCCAGAGCAACTCACAACAGATCATCATCATCTACTTCTACTTCTACTTCTACTACTACTACTACTACTGCTACTACTACTACTACTACTACTACTACTACTCCTACTACTGCTACTACTACTACTACTGCTACTACTGCTACTACTGCTACTACTGCTACTACTGCTACTACTGCTACTACTGCTACTACTGCTACTACTGCTACTACTGCTACTACTGCTACTACTGCTACTACTGCTACTACTGCTACTACTGCCACTGCTACTGCTACTTCTACGATCGCTACGACTGCTACAACGGCTACAACTGCTACTACTGCTGCTACTACTACTACTACTACGACTAACAAGTCCGCAGATACGAATAGGAACATACCAGAGTAGCAGAGAACTCAAACGTAGTCATGTTAACCGTGAATGCGCCGTTGTTATTGATGGCATCATGATGACAAACAATAATAGTGGTGGCGGTGGTTGTGGTAGTGGCGGAATGTGGTGGTGGGGGTGGTCGTGGTAGTAGCAGTAGTAGCAAATAGCGTAAACAGTAGTAGCAGTAGTGGTAGTCGCGCTTTTTTGTGCCAATAAGCGTTTCGCCACGCACTTCTTATGACTCAAAACGAGGCCTGAAAAAATGCTGATTTCACGGCTAGATATTTACAATGAAAACCATGGCAGGCGTGGCACTTTGCATGATTCGGTGTGTGCCAATTTGGGGTCTTGTTTTTTGCTTGGTTGCAAAGCCGAAAACACCGCACACAGCGGGGTGCTCGTGATGTCAGTGCCCTTGCAGTTTGCCCCAAAGCTTGTGTATTTGTTGTTCTTGGATTCGGAGATGAATTTGCAATGAATTTCTGAACCGTGGATGTGCAACCAAAGAGAGTTAGTTGAAAGAGGTAGATTCGAATCATTATGAATACACATTGGGAATGCATATTGACTGACACGGATTTGTGAATATCTTTGCCAAATCTGCAGCGGAAAATCTTCGTCAGGTTTGCCTATCGCAGTAAAATGCATCGGATCAACTTCGTCAGATTTGAGAGGTGCATTCGAGTTAACTGAACGAGATATATTCGAATCATTATGGAAAAAATCTGGAATTCATGTTGATTGACACGGATTTGTGAATATCCTTGCCAAATCTGCATTGGATCATCTTCGTCAGATTTGCCTACCGCAGTAAGCTGCATCGGGTCAACTTCGTCAGATTAGCGGAAGGTGAGGAAAATGCCGAGCGGCGGCGTCAGCCGAATGCCTACCTGGCGAAGAACCGGTAAAGCCGAAAGGCTCACCGTCAACCAGGGAGACATGGCTGGCTCACTCCCTGTTCTGGAGCCAGCGCAACTGTGGAGCTGAGGCTTTTGCAAGCACTCATGCGTGCTGCTTGATGCAGCAAGGACGTCATTAGCCCCTCACCCCCGCCCCACCCCCTCCCCCCCCCGCCAGCCCCCGGGAAGTCAGAATCAGTGGAAACGCACGACGGTAAACGATTCGTTAGCTGCTACCGCTACAGTGTGCCAGGAAACGACGGCCGATGTTTGTCCAAGTTTGTACCGCAGACTCGCCAGAGACCGCTTGCACCACTTGAGGGGGCGGGGGGGAGGGCAATCTTGGTCATCTTGCCTTGCACCACTTGCACCACTTTGACCACTTGGGGACCAAGATGGGCAAGAATAGCCAGATAAGCAAAATCTTGGTCACAAACAGCGGCCCTCAATTGCCGGCGCACCGCGCAGCAGGAGCAGTAGCGGTAGCAGTAGTAGTAGCAGTCGTAGTAGTAGTAGTAGTAGCAGCAGCAGTAGTAGTAGTACTCGTCGTCGTCGTCGTAGTCGTAGTCGTAGTCGTAGCAGTAGCAGTAGTAGTAGTAGTAGCCGTCGTCGTCGTCGTCGTCGTAGCAGTCGTAGCTGTAGCAGTAGCAGTAGCAGTAGCAATAGCAGTAGCAGTAGCAGTAGCAGTAGCAGTAGTAGTAGTAGTAGTAGTAGTAGTAGTAGTAGTAGTAGTAGTAGTAGTAGCAGTAGTAGTAGTAGTAGTAGTAGTAGTAGTAGTAGTAGTAGTAGTAGTAGTAGTAGTAGTAGTAGTAGTAGTAGTAGTAGTAGTAGTACAGTAGTAGTACTAGTAGTAGTAGTAGTAGTAGTAGTAGTAGTAGTAGTAGTAGTAGTAGTAGTAGTAGTAGTAGTAGTAGTAGTAGCAGTAGCAGTAGCAGTAGCAGTAGCAGTAGCAGCAGCAGCAGCAGCAGCGGTAGCGGAGTAGGAGGAGTAGGAGGAGTAGGAGGAGTAGGAGGAGTAGGAGGAGTAGGAGGGAAGGAGGAGGAGGAGGAGGAGGAGGAGCAGGAGCAGGAGCAGGAGCAGGAGCAGGAGTAGGAGTAGGAGTAGCAGCAGGAGGAGGAGTAGGAGGAGTAGGAGACGGAGGAGGAAGGAGGAGGAGGAGGAGGAGGAGCGGGAGCAGGAGCAGGAGCAGGAGTAGGAGTTGGAGTAGGAGGAGGAGTAGGAGTAGCAGTAGGAGCAGGAGGATCAGGAGGAGCAGGCGGAGCAGGCGAAGGAGTAGGAGCAGTAACAGTAGGAATAGGAAGCAGTACGAGTAGGAGGAGTAGGAGGAGGAGGAGGAGTAGGAGGAGGAGTGGGAGGAGGAAGAGTAGGAGTGGAGTAGGAGTAGGAGGAGTAGGAGGAGTAGGAGGAGTAGAAGAAAGAGCAGACTCCTCCGCTACCCTCTCACAAGCCTGGATTCCCACACAAGCCCTTCACGACTGGAACGTGCCTCCAGCTTGCGCAGACTTCCGAACTCTGGTTTCTCGGCCTCAGTTGATTGCATGGTTTGACCGAGTCTCTCTTTAGAACTCTTTATGTCGTGCGGCTTAGGAGTTGAAGCTCAGGGTTCGAAGACGAGACGTGTCACTGTCTGACTATGACTAGACTCTTCCGAGCTAATGTAATCTTGTTTGGTTCTGAACACAACGGTTCAGACTATGATGTATCTTCGGTTTCTTCCTTTTCCGAATGTTGTGGAGCCTGCCGTCGTATTGCGTCCTGCGCGGAAGCTCCAGTCACTGCCCGTGGTGCACGAACTCACTGGTCTTTGGAACCTACCATGTCAGCGATGCTGACATGACAGAAACATCTGTCCAAGGTCTGCTGCAGTCTTCAGAACGCATTAACAAACTGGAAATGCTTGAACGAACGTAGTGCTTTATGTTTTCTCTGCAAAGGGGCTTGTGCGCACGGAAGATTAAGATATTGCCATGTCCTGAAACTTCAACGTCTGTGCCAGGTCACCTCTTCGCCACAAAGCTCCGACAGGGTCACCTGTCCGATAGCTGTCTGTGCAACATTTCGCTGGCGGCCATGCAGATGAGTTTCCTCTGTGCTGACCAAGGATTCGGGCCAGTTCAAGGAACTCACGGCCCAACAGGTTCTTGACAACATGGGCCGATTCTGAGGTCGGTCTTCAGCAGGCACAGCCTATGAAACCCAGGATTAATTAAAATGTGAACCAAAAGCAAAACAAAAGCGCCAGAAATGCGAATTGAAAATGCGCCCTGGAAAAGCAAACACAAAATAAAAGCAAAACAAAAGCAAAAGAACCGCATTGTGATAATTGCAAAAAATCAAGAAACTAGAAGACAATTGGCCCGAAAGCATCATCAGCGAAGATTGTGGGGCTATGTGATAGATCCAGTGTATAGGATCGTAAAGTCACAGAGTCAAGAGTCATAGAGTCCATGAGTCATGAGTCATAAAGTCATAGAGTTGCAGTGAGATAGCGTCATAGAGTCGTAGTGAGATAGAGTCACTGTATAGGATCGTAAAGTCACAGAGTCAAGATTCGACCAAGCCAAACCCTGTGAAGGGTTCCGCGGGCACCGCAAAATGTGTAACTTCACCTCGCGTTCGAACACTCGACAACGCCAATCTGTGTGAAGGGTTGCAAAATTCATCTCAATGCTCATCCAAAAATTGCAACTTTACCTCGCGTTCGAACACTCGATTTTGCAATCCCTGTGAGGGGTTGCAAAATTCATCTCAATGCTCATCAATAATTGCAACTTTACCTCGCGTTCGAACACTCCACCACACCAATCCCTGTGAAGGGTTGCAAAATTCAGCTCAATGCTCATCAAAAATTGCAACTTTACCTCGCGTTCGAACACTCCACCACGCCAATCCCTGTGAAGGGTTGCAAAACTCAACTCAATGCACATAAAATAATCCATCTCAATGCTCGTCAAAAAATGCAACTTTACCTCGCGTTCGAACACCCGACCACGCCAATCCCTGTGAAGGGTTGCAAAATGCCAATCCCTGTGAAGGGTTGCAAAAAAAAATGAACTGCACCCAAACCCTGTGAAGGGTTGCGCGGCGCCCGCAAAATGTGTAACTTTACCTCGCGTTTGAACACCCGAGGAGGCGAATCCCTGTGAAGGGTTCACGGCGCCCGAAAAATGTGTAACTTTACCTCGCGTTTGAACGCCCGAGGCAGCGAATCCCTGTGAAGGGTTCACCCGGGCGCCTAAAATGTGTAACTTTACCTCGCGTTTGAACGCCCGAGGCAGCGAATCCCTGGGAAGGGTTGCGCGGGAATCCTAAAATGTGTAACTTTACCTCGCGTTTGAACGCCCGAGGCAGCGAATCCTTGTGAAGGGTTCACCCGGGCGCCTAATAAGTTAAAAAATGTGTAACTTTACCTAGCGTTTGGGCCCTCGCCCATGCCAATCCCTGTGAAGGGTTCACCCGGGCGCATAAAATGTGTAACTTTACCTCGCGTTTGAACGCCCGAGGCAGCGAATCCCTGTGAAGGGTTCACCCGGGCGCCTAAAATGTGTAACTTTACCTCGCGTTTGAACGCCCGAGGAGGCGAATCCCTGGGAAGGGTTGCATTCCCGATGGACGACAACGGTGCCACCCCTGGCTTTAAAAGAGAGAATTAGATACCGAGATGTAGAGAGTAAGTCATAGAGGCATAGAGTCAAGTAAGTAAGTAAGTAAGTAAAAGTAAGTCAAGTAAGTAAGTAAGTAAGTAAGTATAAGTAAGTATAAGTAAGTATAGAGATAGCATAACATAGAGTCCAGTGTCAAGTGTCAAGTAAGTTAGTAAGTAGATTGAAGTAAGTAAGTAAGTAAGTCGTAAGCATAACATAGAGTCAAGTATCAAGTGTAGAGTCAAGTATCATAGAGTCAAGTGTCAAGTGTAGAGAGTCAGTCATAGAGGTCAAGTAAGTAAGTAAGTATCAAGTGTAGAGTCAAGTATCAAGTGTAGAGTAAAGTATGGAGTCAAGTAAGTTGATTCTATGTCTGTCATCTATGTACTCAGCTGCGGCGTTCCACACGGAAGAACCCTTCGCGATGCTTTCGGGAAAAAACAAAACAAAAGCGCCACGTCTGTATTCATTCTGTGTTCCCTTTTGGCTTCACTTTTCACTTTTTTCTTTCATGTTTCGTGTTTCGGACGCAGCCACCATCAAAGCCTGCCATGCCTTGTTTGCATGTGTTTCACATTGTTTGCACATTTCCAATTTGGATCGCATTTTGCGAACCACTTTTGTAGCGCTTTTTTGTAACAAAAATAATGGGTTTGGGAAATCCTAGCCTGTGCCTGAATGCCCGGCTTAAGCCGATTCTGATTCGCTGTCTGGTCACGCTGGCCATCTTGAAGGCAAGAACAGGCCATGGCAGCAAGCCCAGTGAACCCAAGCTGGCACATGAAAAGCTAGTCAGACCCCTCTAGAAGCTGGGCGTCTATGCTTTCGACAAGCAGTGTATCAGGAAGTACAATGGTTTTTGACCATATAGATGCCCGCCAGCTGGAACGCTAGGACGAGCAAGTGCAAGCCGAACAAGGCAACATTTTCAAACCCCCATCGGCAAAACGATCCTGCAAGTGGCAATATGCAGCGTCGCAGATACGAGCGAATCCTGAACTTGGGGCCGGAACCACTTCTCACAGCCGCATGCTTAGTCAATCTCAATTCATCTTCTTTCAACGGATTGCTCTCAGACTGCGACACGCAGACCTGACATCTGTCGAATGCAGGCAATCATAGCGAATCAGTTCGCCTGCCTTGTCCGCTCCGCGCTGGCCAAAGAGGACAAAGTGATCAGCCTGGGGCGAGTCGAAACATGTCGAAACATTGTAGAGCGCTCCGTGGATTCGTGAAGATCCAGGCATGGATGAAGAATCGTGTCAAACAGGATCTCCAGCGGATCAGCACCATAGCCCTTGATGACTGTTTGAGGCTACTTATGTAGGTTTGTCACAACCTCACAACCGAAAAAGCGCATGTACCCGGACGAAAAAAACACCGAGGCAACCAAAGAAACACATTCATTTGTCCTTGTGGAAATGGCTCCCAAGCGCCTGGTTTGTGCCATGTACAGTGTTACTGTCGGATGTGTTTAGTCGGTGGCGGTTTCTTTCATGTCGTTGATTCTTTTGGTCTTGCTGTTGTTGCTGCTGTTGTTGATACTGCTGTTGTCCGGACCCGAAGATGAAACCTTAAAATGAAGACGGCAAAGCCATCCCGAAGATGAAGCCCTAAAGTCGTCTCCAACCTGGAACCCTCGAGCAAGGAAGGCAGAGCAAACAAAGTCGCCCCGAAGATGAGACCTTAAAGCGAGGAAGGCAGAGCAAACCCGAAAGTACAAAGTCTGGTCCAAAGCATTACAGCAGGCCCAAAGCGTAAGCTTAAACGCCGTCCCCAAAATGAGGCCCTAAAGTCGTGGCAAACGTTCAAACTTCACGCGACCAACGCAGAACAAACTCTAGTCGTGCCGAAAGTGAAACGCTGTACGAGGAATGCAGAGCAAATCTTGAAGTCGCCCCCTAGATGAAGCCCGAAAGTCGTCCCGACGAGAGTCCGGTCCAAAGAAAAACAACAAGTCCAAAATATCCCCAGATGCATGCCTTAACGTCGTCCCGAAGATGAAACCCTAAAGCGAGGAAGGCAGAACAAACCCGAAAGTAAAGGGTTAAAGGCCAAGCTTTACCCGGAAGTCCGATCCAAAGAGTTACAACAGGCCCAGAATACAAGCCCAAAAAACGACGACCCTCACGAGCGAGAAAAAGGATCAGCGAACACACACACACACACACAAAATACAGAGCGGAATGGGCTGCCCTTTTGAACTTCACATAATGCAGGGCCCCTACTAGTATCACCACGATAACACCTAAATATGCACTCACCAAATTATTCAAGAGGAGCCCCATATGCACTCCATATCCATAACGCAAGCCCTGCTTCACACCACAATCCTCTTCATACATGCACGTGCTGTCGCGATGCTGCCGTGTAGATGGAGTCAAGTTGTGAGCAAATGAGAATTGGACCCAGTCGTAGAAAGAAAAGAAGGGTGGAACACCCGAAATGGCAACACGAACGGTCGCTTCTGCGCCTGCTCCGCAAGCTCGGGCTTGGAATCGGTGCAAAGCCAGCTCCTGGAGCGATTGGTGGCTTCAGACCACGGAACTCTCGGACTCTCAGGCTTTTCCTTTCAAAGTGGCTGAGACACAACACGAAGCAGATTTCCTTTCAGCCCGCATGTCATGTGCTGAGGCAACGCTGGACTTCTGCTACCCCCGAGTGCTCCGTGCCGTCTGCCAAGCCGAGAGGAGCGACTCGCCCACTCCCAGGGAGAGGTAAAACTGCTGAGAAAACCTCAACGTTCGAAGAGTTTGGGTCTGGTCGGGTTTATTGTTCGGCTGTGGACGCCCAGCGCCCGTTTCGAACACTGCCTCTGTGGTCCTTACTGCGACAGAAAGCGCAGACTCCTACCCGCAGAAGCTATCCAAGGAGCCTCCGCGCGGCCACATCGTAGACGGGACTTCGCAAGCACACCACGTGAGGGCAACCGCACTCAACAAAGACCTGCACGCTCTTGACGACATGGTAGCTACCACATCCGCGCAAGAACTAGGGCACATGAACTCGGACAGTCCTGTCTTTTGGATTGGGATGAGGCTACGTCGACACATTCCAGCGCAAACAAGCTTCTGCTGCAATACACCAGCTAGTTGCTATCCCCTGCAATAACAGCCTCTAGCGGGAGATAGTTACAGATAGTTTACGAATTTCACACGGCTGACAGGACCACACCAAAAACAACAATACAAGCACTGCAGAAGAAGAGCTCAACTGAATGTATGATCGCCAAGACGATTGGGGAAAACCCAGCTGCAGACCCTAACACCTGCAGCCGCTGCAGCACCTTACATCTGAAAACCCTGTGATTGTGCCGCACGTCATCACTCCGTCATGCATCCCTAAACCCTGAACCCTTGGAATCCTCGAGCCTTAAGGGCTTTGGGATCCTCACTGTGCTTGCAAGCAGAAGACTCCTGAAGGATTCTTAAGAATTACCTGTAGAACAGGGATTTGGGTCTTATACAAAGTATACACGGTAACTGTCACGGACGAGCATTGATTTATCAGCACAGCCAGCTTGGTTTAGCTTCTGCCGGAAAGGAACACTGGATTTGCATAGTGCTCAAATGTGTCATACGAGCCGATTTCGTGTCGTTTCCCGATCGAATGAAGCTGCACCGAGCACAATTCTATTGCGACGGTCGAATTCGTCGTTCATGCGTGGTTTAGGACTGCGGAGCAGTGAAGCTCGTGCTTCGGCTTGTAGGCGAGCGTAGGATCTGGAGCCAGAATGACACAACCTTAAGCATCGAAATCCGAAGTCTGTGAGCTTCACTTCGAGCTGGTGGATCCTAAGCAATCATACATCAGACTCAGACGGCAACGACTTCAACCAAATCTTTGGCAATTCGCTTGCTCCGCAGCATTCAAGTCGGGTGTATGTCCCGTCAAAACAATCATCTGTTGAGTGCTCGCAGCAGGCAGCGCCAAACTCCTCATCCCAACAGGTGCGCGGGCCTGCAATGCGAATCCAAGCTACGTATTCCAAGGGTGGATGTGGAGGGTAACTTGGCTGGACTTTGCCTGCCTTTTGAAGGTCCACTCTGCTCTTCTCCACAAACGCATTACGCAGCAAGAACCTCTGCTGCTGTACCTCTGCGGCGTCGCCCCGAAGGGTGAGGTGCAGCTCGGTCCCCTTCGTGGATAGCCGGAGAAGAGCTTGGGCACCACAAGGGCTCTGCAACACGCCCTCCGATGAAACGATGAGGTCGAACTGCCCGAAGTCTTCGACTTGAGCTAGCTCACAGAAGTCCAGACTTGCTGCGTCCAAATTCGCAACACCCGTGAGTTCACTGTGTTTTTGGCGCAGCTCCGGATCGACCACACCGGGCAAATCCGTGGCCAGCATCGCTCTGCAGCGAGAAGCCAGCACCAGGGAAGGCAGGGCGAAGAAGCCAGCCGCCAACTCGATGCAACGGCCAAACGAAGAGGAGGCTTCTGCAGCCGAAGTCTTAGCGAAATGCCTCGAAAGAACCAAGGATCCCGGCCACAAAACCCCCGAGTAGCCAGCCATCAGATGAGACCAACCGAGGAGCTGCCTTTGCCGAAGGACAAGAGGCTCTCTGAAGAAAGGTTGCAGATCCAATTGAAGACTCGCGCTCTTGAAGGGCAAAAAACGGACAGGCCGCCCGCCATGGGCCACGAGACCTTCGTAGACAAAGTCGCAACAACGCTCGACGAAATTGTCGAAGCTCGGAAGGCCCAGAGATTTCCAACACCAAGGATTCCCGCCCCGCCGTTCCCGTGCGATGCCAGCATTGGGACCGGGCCGCTCTTGGCTGCGGTTCTTGATGTCTGGCTCCCGCAAACGCTCTGGTCGACAGCAGTAACTGTAAAAGTCACCCAGAGTCAGGCCAAGAATCAAAGCACACGAAGCGCTGCTGTTGAAACTTTCACCTGGCATCGAACACAAGGTGCCGCCGGGTTTGAGCAAGCTGCCATCCTGTCAGAACGAGCATGAATACTTGTCGTAAAGCTGTTACAGTGCTCGTGAGGAGAGTTCTGAGGGCGTCCGAGGGGTTCGGGGTGTTGAGCCTCGTCGCGAGAAGCTCGCACCTACATCACTTCCAACGCTCGCGATTTCCCCCGAGCTCCAGGCTTGGGCGAGCTCCTGCGACCAGCAAGTGCTCAGGAACAGCCTGGTGAGCTCGGATGTGGTGAGGATGGAAGGGAGATAGCTGCACTAATACGAGCAACCCGTCTGCAAAGCGACAAACCTCGTGATGCGTGCCATACCGGAAGAAGCACTTTTCCAAGAACGGCGACACCACGCTATAGTGCTCCTTGTTGAGGGGCACCTATCATCTGAACCTCTCTTTGAGGATCTGCATGAAGGCGGGTGAAGGCGTTTAAACGCGCACGTGCCACCTTATCCCTTGCATTCTTTATCTGCTGAGTTAAGGCTTCAGCTTCGCCACTGAGGCAGCGGCAGGGATACACTTCGAAGACCGCTTTCCTTCATACCGAGGATCTCCTGCAACAGAATGCTTCTTGAACCCGTAAGGCCTCTTCACGTTGTTGCAGCTAGCCTGACTGTGGCACAGGAAGAAATTGATCCCTGTATCAAACTCGACCTGGAATCTGAGGCCTACTTGCAGGCCTCTAGCCGCTTCTTCCAGAGGACGTGCGCCTTCCCGACGAAACTCGTTTTGGTCTGCTTTGGGTCTCATCGAATCTCGAACTGAGCAGAGTTTAGAGGGCTCGTCACGCATCCTTGGCTCTGTTATGAGTGCCCTTCGAAGCTACACGGCGCAGTGTTGAAGGATCCGCAAGATATCGCAAGATCTTGATGGGGCGAGGCCGAAACCTGACGAAACAATCCTGTCGGACAGCAGGCACCTAACTCATACCCGAACTTAATACATGGGGCAAAGTGAGGCAAGACAGCACTGACAAGCACAGTGCTTGTAGGATCGAGTAAGCTGCCGGGATGCGAAACGTTCATCGATCATCGAAGGAGCAGGCAGAAGCAACACATCAGGACATGCATGTGGTTTGTAGGATTAATTGCAGCGAAACCTGATCATCCCGTAGTGACCAGGGCTTAAAGACTCGCTGTGACTCTCTATTAGCGGAATATGCTACAAGGTCGGTGGCTTCAGCCACCATGCAATGAGCAAGAAACGCTGGCTGGATGCAACATGCACCTTCCCGCAAAAGTCTTCCAGGACCAGGCCGACGTCGCCCTGCTGCTACGGCAAAGGTCTGTCTCGCCTGACTTAAGTACGTCTCGCTCCGCAGTAAACCCTGAGCCCATGCAACAGCAGGGATGGAGCATTGCAGGTCGGAGGCAATGCTGGGTGCACGAAAAACCAACTCAAGGCTTTGCTTCGTCGTCTCAAGGCCCACCCGGAGCTCCCGCTCTAAGCATTCCGAAGCCTTGTCGGAGCGGATTGAGTGGGCAGACAGATGAAGGACAAGGCCCTTCTGTGACTTCGCCAAAGTCAGCAGCTTCCTCGGCGCTCGAAACATCTGAATTCTTGAAAAGGGTTGGGGGGCCGCTTCAGGGAATCTGCGTGATCTCATTTATTCCGTACAACTTTCAGGGCAGACGTGCTCAGCCTTACAAGGCCTGCACTTTCATCTTGCGGCCTTGCAGCGAGAGAGATTGCACCGTGGCCACGCCCACGTTTAGTCGGGCTCCTGAGCCAGATTCCTCAGTTTGCGAAAGTCGTCTTAGCTTCTTAGCATGACGCTTGCTCAGGCTTGGCACAGCTGTCCCTGTCGACCCCTTGCACCTTGCTTTCTTGCGAGCTAGTGGCTTCAAAGGCCTCCTGGATGGTCTCTACCTCCGACCTGAGTGTTCCACGCCACACGTCTTCCTTTATAGAACGTTGAAGTTCTGATCGCGAATTGAACAACGGCAGCTCGAAGGGTACACAGGTCTCAAATCCCCAAATCAGAAAAAGCCAGTGACCATGAAGAAAGCGCCGATGCGTAAGCTCACTTTTTGCACTAGACGACCAAATGCTCACGACGGTTGCATAAGGCATATGCCTTCTTTACACTATACATTCGTACCGACTCTGGCGTTAGGTCTTGCCGTGCCATGAAGCTTAAGCCACACAGCCATAAAAAGACGCATGCCGCACATGGAGAGCACATGTTTCTGCACTCCTCCTTGATGATGCCGGAAGGCTACGCATCACCTTTCACTCTGTGCTTGACATGGAAGGAGTTCTATGACTCACCTATTGTAAATGCTGCGCCCTCCATTCTCTACGCAACATCTGCAGAGTCGAAGAGCGTGGGCCCTGCCAGTATTTCGCAATCCCCAGCAATTCCCATGAATGTGGAGCACGTCTGTTCCCGGCACATGGTGGTAGGGGCCCGCAAAGGTCTCGACTCTGACTTCTGGTAGTGGTTCCGGTCGTACTCTTTCAAAGGCTGGTTGATAGTCCTTTTGAACTCCTTGATCCCGGGTTTGAGGTTTATCCCTTTTCGGGGCAGCAGTGGAAGACGAAGAAGCCTGCTGCGTCATCTCGGGTGGTACTGTAGGCACCGGAGAGGTATTGGAGGGCATTGTATTCTCGAATAGGTCCCGGAGGTAGAGAAGTCTTACGCCCTGGGCGTCTGTCAAATCGCTCGGTTCTAGAGCTAGGAGCCTTTGAAGCTCCTTCAGCTCGCTCCTCGTCATTTTTCCATAGCCGGCTCTCGCCCTCAAAGCCCGCAGTCTCACATCACTTCCCCGAACACAACTCTTCGAAGTCTCCCACAAGAAGATGACCACAATTGCAATCACCAACACCGCCACATATAGATCCCAGGGTATCTCAGTCTGCAACTGACCTGTTTCTGAACGTACTCCGCAAACTTGGCAAAGCATCAACAGCTTCATCAACCAGGAATTATTCGTTGTAACCGCACGGACTGCAGGTTGCATCTCTGGTCGGCGATCTACAACATTCCAAAGACGTAGTAGCTGCAACAACCGTCTTTTGGGAGTGGTTTTGTACCCAAGTCTGCTCTCTGAGTAATCCCCGGCTCAAAAACAACCTGGAGCTCTTTCTGGTGGATCTTCTCCTTTACAAAGTTAGATCGCAGCCTCAAGTGCCTTGTACGCCATGAACCCGAGGAACCCTGTAGTAACATCACAGCCGATTGGTTGTCGATGTGAAGGTAGAGGGATAAAGGCTTGCCACGCAGCTCCTCAAGGAGAGTCTTGGTAGAACACCCCAATATGGTGCCATCCACGCCCTCAAGCAACTCTGACTCTGCCGTTGACAGAGTAACTAAGCTCTGTCTGGAAGATCTCCATGTTATTGGATTATTGTTGTAGAACACGGCCGCTGCTCCATGGCTCCGGCCTGAACTCGGAGCAAAGCTGGAATCAGTGAACACATGGATGGACTCAATGGTTTCTTCATTGTCAGAAAACCGGATCCTGTAGTGGATGGTCTCGTGAAGATAGTTCAAGGCCCGGCTCGCAACCTGGTTGACAATCTCCGGGCATCTGGTAATCCTCGATGAAAGCAATGCCGTTATGTATTGAAGATCAGGACGTGTACGGCCTGTCAACCAAAGAAGCTCCCCAACGACCCTTTGGGCCGCCTTAACTTGATCTTCCTTCCCACTCAAGTCCACCGGCTGCGCAAGGATCATCGCCTCCTTCTCTTCAAGGGTCAAAACCATAGTTTCCTTTGCGCCTGGTGTCCTTGACTTCGAGCCATCATGTCCATGGGATCGTAGTAATTCACGTACAAACCCTTCCTGCGCCAGCTCCACTCCATTGTCCACAAGATGGAACTCCATGCCCAGAAACCTGATGGGGTGGTCCTCCTCCAAGACATCCAAGCTATCACACTCCCATTTGGAAGCTACCCAACTGAAGAACGTATCCATCACTGAGGGCATTGCATTTATCAACAGGTCATCAATGTAGACCATCAGGTAACCAAGAGGTTCTTGATCACCATTGACTCTAACGATCTTCCAGACCTGGTCGTCAGTGATCATTTGAACCAACATGAGTTCCTCCCTTTGGCCTTCAACGTCTGCAAACCATCTTGCCATTCTCAACTGTTCGTCCCTGAACTTTGACCATAGTGCTGGGCTTTCCCTCAGTCCGTAGATTGACATCGTCACGAACCAATAGTCTCCCGGTTCAGCCAATCCTAATTCGTAGGCGATTGCCGGGGGTTGCAGTGCAACCGATAAGCCCAACCACGGTGCAAGAACAAATGCCTGACGTATGTCAGTGGTTCCATACTTCCAGGGCTTTCCAATGGTATAGGACAGCATTGTTCTCAGGGTTGTCGCGTCCAAACCTGTGGCAAACAAGTCCATTCCCTCTTGTCCTTCAGGTACATGATTTCCACAAGCCACGAAACGTGTTTTACGACGGAACAGCGAGTTCTTGTCCGGCTTCACTGTGTAGACGCCCTTGCAAGGAACAATACGGCACCCTGGTGGTAGTTCATGTTTCTTCTTGATGACAAATGCATTCTTGGCGTCCTTCAAGTTAGTGAACTCCTTGACAGCCGAGGGCTTCCATTTGTCAATGTTCCTTTTGACTTCCTGCAAGCTTATGGTATGTGTCACATCCAGTGGCGTATTCCTCTGGACATGATCCTCAAGGATTGACTCAATGTTCGGAGTATACTGGACCTCAGCCTTTTTTAGGATTCTGCGAACGTTGCCTTCATCTCGTCCCGAAGATGCCCTTGACTTACTCCCTGACATAGATCCATTAAAGATGTCGGAATCATCCAACTCCACAAAGGCAATTGTTGATGGCGGGGTTCCGGCTTGAAGAGCTTTAATTCGGATCTCCTCCTCAATCCCCAAACTTTCTTCCTCCACATCATTGGCATCCTTCTTCAAGGAATCATGGTTGATTGGGAAACCCATGTCCTCAAGCTTCTCGACGTCCTTGTCAGTCAACTTCCAGGCCCTGGGAGTATACATCAACAGAACAACTCGATCTCCTTCCCAAGGTTGAACTTCATGCCATTCTCCAGGGGCAAACTTCACCGGGACGCCCTTTACCATTTCATGTACCGATCCATTCACGATCTGTCCATTAGGAAGCTCTTTTTGGACACGCTGCTCTTCTGGAACATCTGGGTCCGCCTTCCATAGGGAACCGCCCTCGAACGAAGTAATCGGGACAACCACGTTGTTGGAGTTCTTGAAGTTATGAACATCCCGATGTAGGCCCAAGGCTGCATTCCTGGCGATACCCAAAGCAGAAAAGTTTTCCCCTGGCGCATAACGCTTGGCCACTTCGACCAGGTACTTTGTGGTCTGCGGGTACACGTAGAAATTCCTTCGGACTCCCGCGCATCCTCCATGAACGAAGGCACCCGAATACCAGGACGTCACCGCCTCCTTCTTTCCGATCCGTAGGTCCGTATCTCCAAGTTCCTCGAGTTTGTTATACAAAACCAGGACCTCATCAAGAGAGAAGTTCTCCTCATCCAACAGTTTTCTCGCCAAAAACTCGATTTCTTCAGCGAGCTGCTTCCTTGTTTGAGGGCCCTCATCATCTTCATCGGGCGCAGAAACTCCCTGTGCGGTGGCAGGTGGTAGTAGATGTCGTAGGTCCTTTTCCGGGTCCACCACATTGAACTTCACACTTTTGGCTATAGTCAGGCCACCGTCGTCCCTCAAGATCAAGTGGCCCTTGCTCACGTCCGTGGAAGGTCCACGGTACCACCCCTTTTTCCACCTGGCTCCATTTGCATCCCATTTCTTTTCCTTGGTCCCCTTGTATGCTTTCGCCCTGAACCACACCTCATTCCCGAACGTAGTCGCCGGCACCGAAGTCCATGTACTGTGAGGGAAGGCCTTTGACCACAAAGAGGAGGTTGCGTGGTGCAATGCCATTGGCCATTCAGTTGAAGCTGCTCCTCCTGATTTCAGTAAGGCCCTCATACGATTCTTTGCCCATTTGACACCCAACTCAGCAGTGCTGTTTCCAGAGGGATCACCGCCTGCAGTCCTGGAACGGCGTAGGTCATTTTCCGTTGCCCAGGCCTTGTACGCTTTTGATGAAAACTCTCTGGCTCTGTCGGTGTGGACGCCCTCAACATGGAGCCCGCTTTGCTTTAGTTGAAGAAGAAGCTCCCGTGACGCTTCCAAAACCGCAGTTGTGGTTCTCCTCCTCAAAGGCTTGCTAAGGTAGATAGTTCGCGTCTCCGGGGGCGCCGAAAGCCTTTCCACATCTTCCTCAAACTTCTTTGCTTCCTCTTCATCAGTGGTCTCAACTTCATCACCGCCCACCGCCTTCAGGTCCGAGGCGATCAGCTCCTCGTCCAGCTCCAAAGGGTCGTCACCGTCTGGAGGTTCATCTTCATCTGGCACATACAACTCTCGATCTACTTCAGGAATTGACATGGCACTCAAGTACTGCTTGGGGCACCTGTAGGCAGCGATCAGCGCGTAACGATAATCATCATGATCCATGTCTCTTCCCTTCACCTTGAAGGGACCCGCCACATCCAGAGCAACCGTGAACAAATGAGGATGCCTCTGGCGCTGGTGTTTGTAGCCGCTGGCCTGGGCGTTAATGCAAACTGAGCAATCTCGCCGGTAGGGCTGATGGTCGTTGAGAAGGTGTTCACGCCAGGCATTTTGTTGGTCCTTAGACATCTTTCCGACTCTGGCAGCAATCTCAGCAAGGCCTTCGGGGTCATTTTCAACGAAATCACATTGTCTCACCACTGACTCGAGGACAAGCTGCTTAAATCCACACGACCATTTTCTCATTGCCGTTCGGGTCAACAACGAAGGAGGAACGCAACCGCTACTGAAGTCGTAGTTGCCATCATTCTGGGCTATCAGTGGGTAATTTGTTCCCACAGTAGTTGGCCTCTTCGAGCCATGTCCCATTCCACCCATGTAGAAGGATGCCTGCTTCATTCCCGCCAATGACCTGAAAGCCTTCCATAGTTCACTCGTCCACAAAGTGGCGTAAGGTGAATCTCCTCCATGTAGCCATTCTGGATCGGAGTGCATTTCCATCATGTAGCCCACGTTGCCCTTATTTGACATGGTGGCCAGGGTCCACAGAATCATTGGCTTCACTGCACAAGCTGTTTCCGTCCACACTTGTTGTTGTTGATGTGGTAACAGATCCTTTCTCCCAAACGGTGCCTGCCTTGTTCTCAAAGGAAGGGCGTCCTTTCCTCGGGTCGGCGTTTGTGATGTAGGCCACGATCGTTCCGGTAGGGAGGATATGATGTCAGTGATCTTGCCCTTCGACGCCGCCCATAACAGAAGCCGGTATACTCCAGAGGCGAGGTTAACGTCCCACAACTTAGAGAACTTCATGTCCACCTCCAGCAGAATTTTCCCGCCAATGGACACCATCTTCAAGGGATCGTTCTTCTCCAGCTCCCCAAGGTAAAAGCTCACAACCCAACTGTGCGAGTTCATGAGGGCCTTACGCTTCTTTCTCGTGAGGGGCAATGCCTTCAGGTAGTCGAGGCCCGCATCCAAGTCAAAGTCCTCCAACAGCATCGACTGGACTTCGTAGGGTAAGGATTTGGTGAAGGGGCAAGTCATGAGGGCCTTCAGCAGAACGCTTCTTTTTCCACACTTCATGTACTCCTTCATTAACTCGCACCAGTCTCTCTCATCCTCCTTCTTTAGGACCTCCAAGCGGGCTTTCAAGGTTTCAACCTGACTGTTCAAGGTCTTCACCTGCATCAGCTCCAACTCTCGGATCATAGCCAACGCATCGCACGCCGCAACCTCCGGGCAGTTATTGTGGATCTTCACCCGGATAGGTCCTCGAACTGGGTGCGTGAGCTTAAGTTGGGTTGGACTCCAATGCAACGTGTAGCCAAGCTCCTGGATGAGGGCGCCGAGGGGCACGATGGACTGAATTGGTCCTTGGCTTTCCTTAACCAAGATCGTGCCCTGGTCATTCTGCCGAAGAACCCTCACATCTTCACCTGCCAAAGTAACTGAGACTGGTGACCCTTGACCGTATTCGCTCTCAGTGGCCGGTCGCATTGGGTGGCTGGCGCCGCTGTCCAGGAGCCCGTCCGGCTTATCCTCAGATGCCAGTCCGGCCTCAGGATTGGAAACACTCACCTCTTCATTCTCGACGCCGGCTCTTTTCTGGAAGCTCTCCTTGTACTCGGATAGGTCCTCGGGGTAGTCAGAGCTCTTCACCTTGATGGCCTTCAGGCTGGTAGCTTGCATCACCTTCAACATCTTCCCAACATCAGCCAAAACGTCCTTCAAGTCATTTGCCGAGGGACCATCTTCACCTGCTCGAGAAGGGATTGGGTTCACCTCCGGCTTATCGTCGATTTTTACAGTCCTCGTTGCTGGGGTTGTAGTAGAGGAGGAAGGCTTGTCCTTGTTATCGCGCCAGGAAGTTCCATTAGGATTCGGGGCAGGTTTCTTTGCCGGGCACTCTTTGGACGCATGTCCCTTGCCACCGCAGTTCATACACCTGTCCTTTTTATCCAAGCCATCCCACGAATGCTTGAACGGACATTTCGAGGTCCTCGTGCATCCCTTGTTGGTCTTGCCGAAGAATCTGCAGGGCACCTCAGATTTGGGTGTGCCGCTCTTGTTCGCCTCCTCATTCGACGTGGTTGTAGGTGAAGGAGAAGTCGGCCTCGGTGGCGTCGTAGGCAATGACCCGTTTGGGGTTCTCGTATCCGTTCTCATTGGTCTCATTCTTGGCTCCGGCTTTGGGGTCGAAGCTACAGTGGTTGTAGTAGGTGAAGTCGCAACAGCCAAAGCCTCACATTCCGCAACCAGGTGCTTAAAGTAGCTGTCGATCTTATCGTAGCTCGGGTTTGTGTCGACCTGTAAGGTGGACTTCACCAGGGCAGTGCGGAAGCTTGCATCCTGACTCTTTTCCAGCACGGCCTTCACCAAGTTGTTGAGTCCCCGGGCCAAAAGGCTCGGGTCTGGAGCCTGAACTCCAAGCTCCCGGCATCTCCTCAACCATCTGCTCCATGACCTCAACGCCGTGACAGCTCGCACTGGGTCGTGCTCTTGAGGAGGCGCCTGGAGGTTTTGCAAGATCTTGAACTTCTCATCCTCACCTCCAGGTTGATATAGCGTGAGTAGTCGAAAGACCAGTCGCACCGTAGAGCCCGCCAGCCTCCTCGCCACAACCTCTTGTCTCACACCCTCATTGAGCGCATTGACAATCATGGCAGCAGCCCGGCTGTTTAGCCGCGTAACTTTTCCATCTTCAAGGTCCACGACACTTGGCTCCACAGACAGCTTGTCCATCGGGTTCGCCAGCGACCAAACACCGTAGGCCCTGTTCGCTTCCATCATCACCTTTCTCCACCACGCAGCGCTACTGTCTGACAAGTCGGACATCGGACCATCGATCACCTCCAACCAGTCCATGATATCAACGCATGCTGTCTCAGCCGTCACCTCCTTCAAGGGAGGTAAAGCTTGAGTCCCTGGCTTCACTGTCTCCGGGCTCCTTTCTCCATCTGCGTTCTTGTCGAGCTGCTTGAGCATAGCGGCCTGAAGTTGAACCATCCCATCCGTGAGAACTGCAATCTGGTCATGGGAACCCTTTCCCGCAAGCCACTGTTGTGGACTGAACGACGGACCCCCACCACTCGGCTGACCTTGACCATTCATTGGTCCTGAAGACTGCTGTGGCACTAGACCTGGACGCCCTGCTGGTACAGACGCACTCTGAGGTTGGAAGCCTGGATTCCCTGCTGGTACAGACGCACTCTGAGGTTGGAAACCTGGATTCCCTGCTGGTACAGACGCACTCTGAGGTTGAAGGCCTGGATTCCCTGCTGGTACTGAAGCACTCTGAGGTTGGAAGCCTGGATTCCCTGCTGGTACAGACGCACTCTGAGGTTGAAGGCCTGGATTCCCTGCTGGTACTGAAGCACTCTGAGGTTGAAGGACTGGATTCCCTGCTGGTACTGAAGCACTCTGAGGTTGAAGGCCTGGAGGTACAGAAGCACTATTCATTGAAGTAGGTAAGCCCCCATACGACATCACATTGACTCCCAATCCTTCTCCATTTTCTTTCGAGACGCTCGGTAACGGAACCCCCTGAGGTAAGACACCTTGTTGGATACCCAAACACCCTGCTGGTAGCGGAGCACTCTGAGGTTGAAGGCCTGGATTCCCTGTTGGTACTGCAGCACTCTGAGGTAGAAGACCTGGACGATCTTCCCGCTGGCGCTCACGCTCCCTTTCCGCACGCAGGGATTGAATCTCCAACTGTAGCCTCTCCACCTCGATCCTTTGCTTCGCCTTGTAGTCCTCAAGCTGACGTTGAACTTCTGCTTGCAGGCGAGAGCTCCGATCTGAGTCTTCTGAAGGCTGTGTCCTCCCATAGATAAGAGGATATTCCATGCTCGCCCTCCTCATTCTTTCTATCTGTTCTTGTCCAAACAAAGGAAGGGCTTCTTGTGCAGGAGGTGGCGTGTTGTGTGTCCACGAACCCGGAACAGCTGGAACACTTGCACCTGAAGGTGGTAAAGGTTCAGGCGGAGAGAAGCTATATTGAACTGCCGCAACTGTAGCCTCTGCTTCACGCTGTCCATGAGGTAGGCCTAGACCATCCATCATACGATCCAGCCCCGTAGCTCCCCGAGTCGCTGTATGACGAAGAAACTCTGTAAACCTTGCCATCCATCTTGCTCCCTGAGTCTCCGTCGAAGAAGTCTGCGTCCTGGCAGAGAAAAACTCTTGTACCCTCACCGAACTCGTAGGTGTCTGAGGAGAGGGAAAACCACGAATTGCAGGATTCTCGATCTGCGCACACGGAGTTATAACGCTCGCGGCCGGTTGCGGTTCCACGCCGTACGGTGGATCGACTGGTTCCGGTGGTGGCATCGCTTGAACTGGTACAGGTAGCTCAGGTCTATCCGCTGGTTGGCCAATGTCTCTCAAGTTCGGATTTTCCAAACCCAAGTTTCCCGGCTCTCCAGCAGGGCCCGACTGCCCATTTCCATTCGCAACACCATTTACCATCCCAGCGTGATTTCCCACTGCACCATACAGCTGTGGCCTTGTGGTAGCGGAGCTGCCTTCTGCTTGGGCGCTCATAACCTATAGAACGTTGAAGTTCTGATCGCGAATTGAACAACGGCAGCTCGAAGGGTACACAGGTCTCAAATCCCCAAATCAGAAAAAGCCAGTGACCATGAAGAAAGCGCCGATGCGTAAGCTCACTTTTTGCACTAGACGACCAAATGCTCACGACGGTTGCATAAGGCATATGCCTTCTTTACACTATACATTCGTACCGACTCTGGCGTTAGGTCTTGCCGTGCCATGAAGCTTAAGCCACACAGCCATAAAAAGACGCATGCCGCACATGGAGAGCACATGTTTCTGCATCCTTACATCCTCACTGTGCTCGTTGAAAACTACAATGCGGCTGCATCATGAAAGGGTTTGTCGTGCTGCCCCACCTCACATTGATGGCTGGATGGCCCAGTGGTGAAGCAAAGAGGCAGTACACCTGACTGCCAGCAGTTGTGCAGGTTCAACAACGGCTTCCTCGTACGGCATCGTGCGCAAGTGCCAAAATGACCGCGGAAACATGAGTTTGCAAAGACAGGTGGCAGATTCAATCAAATATCTCCCGCCTCCTTGCAGTTGTCTTGGCTGGACACCCTCAAAAAAGAGGAGCCGTAGGAAGACTCGTCGTTCACCGGGGGGCTGGAGCAGTTGGAAAAGCTACTCAAGCGGTACTCCGTGGTCGGCGTTGAGTCAACGCTTAAGCCCTCCATGTAGAACCTTGGTTGACGCAGCCACTGCTCTGAATAAGATTACTGTAGGACCTGAAAAGCCACTCAAAATGCTACCCAGGAGCCCCGGCGTATCATGCACTTCGCGGGGTGTATACAGCATCTCACCATGGCTGCCAGATCCCAGTGAGGTCCCGGAGGGCGAACGCTTCTCCTCAGCATCGGGCGTCTTGGAGGTCTCTTCTCACGACACAGCTCTTGATGGCTTTGCCAGCTTATGGACTAGGACCATCACTTGTAGCCAGGCTTTCTTTGTATTTGGTGTTCGTCCTCCTAGTTGTGCAGCTTGGGCGACACCTCAAGCGCTTTCCTGCCGCACGATGTAAGACAGAACGAAGAGCACTCACGGATGAAACGAAACCTGCTGCCGTACGACGCTGTATGCATGCGCTTCCTGCACGGCTACAATCTGCAGAAGCATTAGTGCCATGCAGATGGGCAGTTTGCCGCCAAGGCTAAATGAATACCCAAAACCGTTGACAAGGAGTATGCGAAAGTGAGGAGGCAAAGGTCTGGGCGGGGGTACTGGATTGCAACGAAGTTTGCCTGCATCGGTCATGAGAGGAGCGAGGCCCTGTTTGAGGCATCGGAGATTCGGAAGTCTTGACCTGGCCCGGCCCAGGGCCCAGCTTTCAAAGGCTCGTGTTGTACCCACGTCCGGCTGAAGCCGTTTCGGGCCTTTCGGGCTAAGAGTCCATAACGCGGACCTCCTCAAGCTGCATGGTGAGATATAACCACATCAACATCATCAACACTCCTGCCTCGATGCTCTGCTATTGCATCGGTAAAGAAGCCAGTGTGGAATTTGAAGCCGCGAGACTCTAGATGCATGCAGCTCTTAAATGCCGAGTGTCGCGTGGAGCTCCCGGCGCGAAAAAGCTGGGCTGACAGCTTCGGCTGGCGCAGGCACTGCCACCTCGCGGGGTCGCAGAGGAGACTCTGGGCTTCTAACATGTCACATGCAATTTCACTGCAAGATGTACAGGCCTTGGCCCCTTCAGGATATGTGATGTATTTAGCACCGCTACACAGACTCCAGAGCTCCTGCCTCCGTGATACGGGCACCTCATGGCGAAAGAGGCTTGGCTTTCTTTGGGAGCATAGCTTGCTGCCCGCTATGGTCGTTGACTCTGTTTGTTCCAGACACAGACGGCGTCACGTTCTTCGTGTGGGAGAAGACACAAGGAACTCCGTACGTGGGCGGCTCAGCACCCGACCCCTCTGCCCGACGACGTGGCGACCGTGCGTGCGGCGACAAGCCGGCCTCGATGCAGGAGAGGTTGCACAGCACTGGAGCCGTTCTTTGAGTTGAAACTCTACGGGCTTGACGAGTACCACAAACGGAAATGAGACCAGCAAGATCTGCAGGGGGCCTGGGATCTCCGGAAACATATTCACAGCTTCACGACTTACAGACTTTGCAGGGGTTCTTGCTTAAAGACCGGATAGTGCAGACTTGTGGCGTTTCTTCTTTAGCCCTCTTGTGGGAATTTGTCGAAACGACATTCTTGTGCACAACATGGGCTCTTGCAGCACCTCTACAGTCACTCGTCTCTTGGTGTTACTCGTGTCTTTTTCTTTCTGGTGTCGCCCGTGCCTTTTCGCTGATGCTCGTCGAACACATGGGTCCATTGTTTTGTAAACTTGTTGCGTTTCCCGCCTTGCTTCGGCTGTCCGACCGTGGGGTTCAAAGGCCGTGCTTCCGGTTCGGGGGCCTCCGGTGCTTCGGTTCGGGGGCTCCGCTGCTTCCGGTGATGCCTTCGGAAAAACGGTTCTGGTGTTGGACTCGGTCTACGAGCTTCTGGTTTGGGGTGAAGCGTGGTGGCATCATGCCAGGGAGGTTGTTGGCTTCCGGTTTAGGGTCTGGGGTTGGGGTCGATTCCGGAGCCTTCGGCTAAAAGTTCAGGGTTTAGTCCGCCTCTGGTTACGGAACGGGGCTCACTCTTCAGGGCTTTTCGGCTTCCGCTGTAGGTCTGGGTTCACTCCTCAGGAGTTGCATGAATGGTCCAAAGCTGTGAACTTTCTCACCTTCGAGAACCCAACTTGTAAACCCCCCCCCTGGCGAAACCAATGTGACTAGCACGAAAGCTAAGCAGAGACTGCTCATATTCATGACAAGAAGAAGAGGGAAGTTCGATCACGATTTGGCGGCCTCGTGTCCCGTCAATTCTTTGTTTGCCGGCTGCTGAGCTTACGCCGAAGATACTCAAGATCTGCAATTCGTCGGTCTTTCAAGCGCGCGGTGGCCAGAAAGTGAGAAGCCCAGAAGCAGTGCACTTGTGTCTGTAATGTTGCCCGATAGCTCTTTGGAGATGTTGACTTCCGAGGGCCGAAAGTCGGTCTTTTCGGATCATACCAGGGGCCCTCTTGTTCGGACACTGTTGCCGCCAACAAGCGGCACCAACAATGAAGGCCCTCTTGTTCGGACACTGTTGCCGCCAACAAGCGGCACCAACAATGAAGACACAAGCGACAAAACACCACACAAGTGATGCCCCTTTACCTCTGCAGTACACTGTTGGTGGAGTGTTGCCAGCTCGAGTTTCCCTGTCCGGCAACAGCGTCGTCCTCAAGTCTGCTTCCCAAGCTTAACACCTAAGCGCAAATTGCTGAAAGGCTGAAACTATCTTAAGTCGGCCTAGCCTTGCCTTCATTAAGTTTCGGGCCACCTCCTCGGCAGCAGTCCTTCGCAGTCCCACTGCCTGGAAGCTTGCCCGATCGCTTGCATTTGGGAAGGCGCATGGGTGCTGCTTTCAAGCTGGCAGGTGGCTCTCTACGGTCTGTTCGGCACAAGTCTGCCTTGACTCGACGGCCCTGGCTTCGAATGTTAGAGTTAGTCCAGGTTCATGGAGTCACGGCTTGTGTTAAAACTCTATTGTCATCCTGTGGAGCTGCCACAGCAACCATAGTTCACATATCGTTCACAGATCCGAATTCAAGATATCTCCGAATCCTGGTGAGATATCGTTTCGTGCAGCCGAAGCTGTCAGCAGCTTTCTGCTGAGCTCATCGCCTCGATTCGCCTCGGCATTGCCTTTCTTCCCCTCTCGGGCGCACGCCGAAGGTTTCCTGGCGGATCCCAAGGGTGTGATACGCTTGGCCTCGGTTCAAGTTTAGCCACGCTGCTGAGCATCGAAACCCCAAATCGCGGAAGAATCTCAAAGATCAGCCCTTCGCAAAGTGGAGCGAGACTTGGTCTATTTGCTGAAATACCGCAGGAGAAGCCAACAAGGTCATTTCTGGATGCTTTCTTTGTGAGGTCAGATTCCGTGCTCATCAAGATTCCGTCTAAGCGCGTCAAGAGCTTCCCCCGAGATGCCGGCCTTTGGTATCTTGGCCTCAGGGCCCACCAGATGAAGTCAAAAGATGTTCTGTTGCATGGTACCAACGTGGCTTTCAGGTGAATTGGCTTGATCATTTCGACTTAGAAGCCGGAAGCGCTGCAGAACTGTGTCCATGCCAGCTCCGCAAATCTGACTCCAGCACACCTGCTCGCACATGCGATGATCTCGGGCCAGCACGCGCACCTCCTCGAGAAAACGTCCCCAACTCTTGAATCGGCCTCCTGACCTGACCGGACGCCGTACGCCACTGGCGACTTTTATATCCACTGGCTTTTCTTTCCTCTGAGGCCTTGGCCTTGCCGGACCTGCCGGACCGGCCTCCTTGTCGTCAAGCCTTGCGCGTAGTTATGCGGTGCTCCGCGTGAGATCGGGTAGGTGCCCGCACTTTCAGGTCACGAGCATACAGGTAGTCTACTTGGCATGAAGCTGAGGTCCCTGCAAAGGCATGCTGACTCGTCGCTCTGTTGGGGGGCAGATGTCGCATGGGTCGCCAGGCGCTAGCCCCGCCCTACCACCTTCTCGAGCAGACTTGATCATACATGACACATTATAGACTTGGTTGAAGCAGCGGGTCTCTTGGAGGATAGGATAAGGGAAACTCCTTAGCTAATTTGTAACGATGGCGGGTCCTTGGTACTCTGCTGGGGATGGAGACTGAGAGCTGCACAAGAGTGCTGGGAGAAGGCATCATTGCGACTAAGATATTAGAACAAGCTTGCACTTTTCCTGACCCCACTAAGTGTTGAGAAAACCCTTGCAATCGTAGTGCGGACTTCTCCAAGGCTTTTTGCCTGCATTGTAGTCCCCGACAGGTGCATTGCACATCGCTGCCAAGAACTGCGCCAACGGAGCCTCACTCTCAACTCTGAGTGACCCTTCATGCACACATCCTCGCTCGGCCCCTGCCACGAATCTCGAATAAGCTGAAGCGGCTGATCAAGAAACTTGATCGCGCTACCGGCTGGGGCTTGTCCCGAATGCGAGAACATTCTCAAGGTTGGAGGGAGTCCAGAGGGTAGCTCCTCATCATCTCCAGCACCCCCTCGAATGAGATGCTAAGAAGTTCCTGGGTCAAAGTTAGGAAGGAAAGACGAATGAATCGAATCATGTTCTCTGTAAAACATGCCGACAGCGAAGAAACACAACGATAACATGACCTTATACAAACAATGTAACAATGATGTGTCAATGGCATGCCTAGTGATACAAGACGAATCACAAATTTTTAGCATAAGAACGCATTAGACATCTGATAGCACATCACAAACATAATACTAACAGTAGCAACGTTAACAACAACAGTAACACTAATTACCAATAATGAATGCTACAATCCTGATTGCACGAAACACCACAAATCCAACTACCTCAAACTTTGACGACACTCCCTGCCCAGCCGGCCATTCCGCAAAGCAAGAGACGAGGGAGCATCAAAAAGCTTCGAGATTATAACGACGCGATCGCGGTACTGTGATGATGATAACTGCCATCAGGCTTCCTCCGGAGCGGTGCAGTTCTCACAGCGAGAGCTTTCAGCCGGCCCAACGAAGTCAATGTAGTGGTTCACTCGTAAGATGCTTTCCTCAACCGCGACAATGTGTGTGCCATGGCGAGGGAGGGCGAAGTGTGCCATCCCAACCTCCAGCACGTTGTCTGGGTTAAGCAGCAGCGTGCGAGAACGGTTCGTCTTGGAGGGTCCTCGCATCTTCTGGGACAACAGCATGGAGCCCCTTGGATAGCTGCCATGAGTGTATTGTACCTCCGTCAGCTGCAGGGCCGCAAACGGTTACGTCGGTGAGGCTCTAAAGATAAGAGCACTGGCTTCAATGCGTCGGAATGCTGCGAACTCGCTGGAGTCCAAAGAAATGTATCAAAGCCAGGCATCATTGCAACCCAGTCCACCTGACATTTTCACTTTAGTTTCTGTAGGTGTTATGATAACGATCAGTAGAGATAGCGCAGCATAATGGTGATGCTTATCTTTGCTATTACGATAAGTGCTGTGTTTACTGTTGCTGTTCTGATCTGCACAAGACTTCTCATACTACAGCTATTTTTCAAGATAAGGTCGTGGCTGTTGTTGCTTTATCATCCCTGTGCGTTGCCATCCAATTCGACTAGCTGATATTACGAGTAATCATAGTTTTGTCAGTCATGCTATCGGTGCTGCACTTTGGGCGAGCACCATTCTAATAAGCATTATCAGTCCGCCTGCCCCTTCAGCATCATTAAGCAATGTGCGTCTGCCTGCGCGGCCAAGGGGTTGTCTCTTTGGCCCTGGAGGTCTGCCTGAGGTTGTTCGAAAAGGTAAGCACTATGGGTCCTTTGCATAAGCCTCTCACACTGGATCATACCACAAGAAACCCTATGAATGTAGTAGGAGCTCCTGGTCGGAAGCTGCGAGATATGGAGGCTCCACCCAGCTGGCAAGTTTCGTTACTTATGTCGGGATTATATCTCATACAGTAATACCGAAAAACACTGAGTCTTTTTCTTCTTCCGCTTACTACAACTACTCTCATCATTATCGTTGCTACTGTACTACTCAACTACAACTGTTAATGTTCGTGCTGCCCTGTTTCTTTCTTAACATCTGCTCAAATCAACCAAGCATCTGCCAGCTCAGGGAACGTCTCGGCTGGCCAGTTCAGGAAGTAGGTTACGCGTGGATGCATCGACATCCCGCTGTCAAGGCGCCCAAAGGAGCCATCCTCATCGTAGATCACAAACTTCCTGGCTTGGATTGAATGAACAAAAATGGTGTTGGTACTTGTCAGCATACAACTACCACTACGACAAGTACTACGATTGATGCTGTAACTATTGCTGCTACTACTTCTGCTGCTGCTAGTACTACTTTTGATACTACTACTACTACTACTACTACTACTACTACTACTACTACTACTACTACTACTACTACTACTACTACTACTACTACTACTGCTACTACTACTACTACTACTACTACTCCTACTACTCTACTACTCCTACTTCTACTCTACTACCTCCTACTACTACTACTACTCCTACTACTACTACTGCTACTACTACTACTGCTTACTACTGCTACTGCTACTACTACTGCTACTACTGCTACTACTGCTACTACTGCTACTACTGCTACTGCTGCTACTGCTGCTGCTGCTGCTGCTGCTGCTACTACTACTACTACTACTACTACTACTACTGCTCCTGCTCCTGCTCCTGCTCCCGCTACTGCTATTGCTACTGCTACTCCTACTCCTACTCCTACTCCTACCCCTACTACTCCTACCATTCCTATTACTCCCACGACTACTACTCCTCCTCCTGCGGCTGCTGCTGCTGCTACCAATAGTACGGCATTGTTATGCCTCTCCAAGAAACTCTTACAAGAAGTTTAGGTCAAAAGGTGTAATGTAGGGCTCATGAAGCATGTTATCCGGGCAGAAACATGATCAAACCAATCCCGGGTTCTCCACCCCGGACAGCCAATGGAAATTCAGCCAATCCCGGATTAGAAACGGATAGCCGGACTCCGCCACCAGCCCGATGAGATCATAGTGGATACGCAGGCATACGGCCAGCCGGTGCCGTGGCTTCTCTGGGCAGTTGGGCGAGATTGGGACCGGAAGCTCGATATTCCTGGGATTGATTCGGGGCTTCCAGAACAACGTTAGCTCTCATGACTTAGTTGGGGATATGTCAAGGCTTCACGAACAAATAATGAGTTTCTTGTATTACTTGCATACAACTTTACATCTGCATTATGCGGCTATATAGGGTTGCACAGGGTTTATGCTCCAGAATCAATAGAAATCTTTCTCCGATCAGACCAGGGCACGACCCGCACTGCATAACAATCTGACACCATCAGATGGCAACTTCTACAAATGTGCAAGTTCCTGCCAATACGCTTGTGATTGTAACATCTCAACCATCAACAACAATCATGATAAGCAAAAGCTATACTGCCAAGACAACAACAGTGACTCTAATTACTAACTGTTGTGATGATTGAGTAAAACATGATCATCACCATCAGCATCATCAGCGTCATCATCACAGTTTGTGCGGCTGCTACCCAACATCGATCCCAGGCTCTGTGGCTCTGCGACGAGACGCAAAAGCGAAGGTTGAAGCTGTGCAGGTACAGGACACACCACCGTCAGAGTGAAGCCCATCATTGAGACTGGAACCTGCAGGCAGTAACAAGGATGACGACAATACACATCGACTACATGTGCTACTAATGAGAATGGTATACCAATAAAGATAGCGCAGTCATAGCAATAATGAAAACAATTCATGTAATTTGCGTCGTCGCAGTCGCAGTCGCAGTCCTAGTCCTAGAATAATAGTAGCAGTAGTAGTAGTAGTAGTAGTAGTAGTAGTAGTAGTAGTAGTACTAGTACTAGTACTAGTAGTAGTACTAGTACTAGTACTAGTACTAGTACTAGTAGCAGCAGTAGCAGTAGCAGTAACAATAGCAATTTGGAAAGGAAAACATCTTTTTTTGGCTTTACCAGAGAACTACAACCAAATGTGTGCCGCTTCAGAGCCTGGGCACAGCTTCTACGGGTTGGCCAGCGAAGCCATCAAAGGAACAGCGCCAAGGGAAGAGTGCTACGTGGGGCTGGGAAAGCACATGGCGCGCCTTGCTCTCTGTCATAACCGGGATGCAGCTGTCTAAACCGTGAGCGAAAAGCAGCACCTCAACCTCCTCGGCACTCTTCGTACTCGTGATGCCATGCATTGGGCTGACCACTGCATGACCGAGCACGTGCAACAGCAGACCACCACTCTGGAGTGGTTTGGGCGAAATATCGAATCCGCAAGAGTGTTGCTTGCCTGGCTCTGCGTCTTCGCCAGTCCCCTCGCTTGCTTCAAAAGTCTGGTCAGGTGACTCCAGTGACAAGTAGCAAAGCTTGGAGAACCACGAGACTTCAAGATCTACGAAAAGTCGCGCGGGCTCCCCGTCTCTGATACTTCGAATGCTGCTGTTACACCATGGGCTCGTCACCCGGAATGTCTGGCCAAAGTCCACGGACAGTTCCTCTTTGATCAACTGCAGCAGCAGCTTCACACTGGGCCCCCAAGTTGCATCCTGGAAATCACTTAGATTAGTGTAAGCTGCGATCGCAATGAAAACTACCACTGCTACTACTTTCCTTCTAACTACTATTTGCACGTAGCATCCTCCGAATCTCTCGTAAGGTCAGCGAAGATAGACTCCACAACGAGAGTGTGACGGCGAAAATCATTCACGACAATGCTCTGCTCGTCAGATGCCAACTCCCAAGTCGACAGGATTCCATGTTGAAGCAGTGAGTTTCGTGCCACCAGCAGCCATTCAACAATTGTCAACACACGCTTCGCCCTGCAATCCTCCTGGTTGGAGCACACGACAGCTTCTGTGTCCTCGTAAAATGCTCTTCGCCGCAGTAGCTCCAGCAAGGAAGGGTGGCCGAAAAAACCCATGACTTTATGCGGCATGCTGAAGAAGATGTCTGTTACACCAGTCAACAAGTTTCCGGACCAAAACATGAGCACGTGCCTTGAAATCTGGAGCTTCAGGAAACCCACGTTTGACAGTTGCTGCCAATTCCAGAAAGCATCATTCCCCTTCCCGGCTTCAATGGCTGCGTTCTGGCAACTGCAGTTGCCAATGTCTGGGAGCAGATCTTGCGAGCTGTTTGCCTGGTAGGCTTGACGCCGGTGAACAGTACACAGTAATCCATGCTGATGTTCGTGGCGCACGTCCGCTTGGGCTGTCGCATTTCGAAGCCGCAGCGGCGGAGCAGCGGAAGTTGCAGCATCCCAGGCCAGGAATAAGAGAAGATGCATGGCTTCGGTCTTTCCAGCATCGCCGGCATGAGTGGTTCCGGAATCCCGACGCCCGAAAAGTGATCGAAATTCATATGTTGTGTGGCGTCCTCCAAACATGCAAGCAACACGCTTTTACGGATCCTCACATCCAAGTGCCCTTCGCGCTCCTTTGTATCCTCATGCAAATTAGCAGGATACCAGACTATTTTCAGCAAGGGCCGCGGCCAGGCCATATCGAAGGAAAGTTCTTCGGCCCGGCATGGTGTTGCATAGAGGCTGTCCTTCAGAAAACACGCGACATGAACAACACGATTACTTGTAGTGCAACGGTGTAGCCGTAACATCATGCTAAGTAATGATCGAAGGATAGAACCGGATAGAAACGTTGCGAGAAACCAATGTTTTTCCATGTTTTCGGTGTGGTCGCATGTGTTGCAACGACAATCACGCTCGAAATCGAAGGGGGAGTGCAGCAATTGCAAGTGCCCTCAGATCAAAATCGAATCATACGGACTGAGGTTCCCTGATGCCACATACAATTCTTTGCTAGCATCGAAAGCATGAGTAGCAGAGTAGCGTTCACCATGCTGATGCAGATTCAAACGCCAAGTTGTTCCCGAACATGGAAAAACTGCAAATTTGGTTCGCCTACACAGCAGGTCTGACCCCGTTCCAAAATGGATAATTAGTTTACGAAACAGACCGCCAAACATCGCAAATCCTGGAACATGACCAAACCGGAGCCATGCAGCGTACCTTTCTGTAGAAATAACAGTCAATACCAACGACCGTCATCAATGCATTTCCCGAGGCCTGCTAAACGCATTCGGCCCTGGTTTCAACAATCGGGAGTTTATTTTCATTCCTAAACGCGAAATTCGTGCTGCAAATGCTTTCGTTCAAGGGAGCCCCGAATGCATTTTTCAAGGCTTGGACAACACATTTAGGAGCTGCTTCAGCTTTGCTGGTGTTCCTGGCCCCATTCCCCGAACCGAAATCGAGCTCCCGAAGCTTCCGACCAACACCAATGCATTTTCCGAGGTCCTCTAAGCGAATGTGGCCTTCGTTTCAGCAGATCTGAAGCTCAATGCCGTTCGTAAACCCGAAAACCCTTCTGCAGATGCTTTACTGTGGTCTCCAAAGCCACAAATTGCAATTTATCAAAGTTTGGAAAGCACAGGTAGGAGTTGTTTCAGCTTTGCTGGTGTTCCTGGTCCCATTCCCCGAACCGAAATCGAGCTTCCGAAGCTTCCGACCAACACCGATGCATTTTCCGAGGTCCTCTAAGCGAATGTGGCCTTCGTTTCAGCAGATCTGTGGCTCAATGCCGTTCGTAAACCCGAAAATCATTCTGCAGATGCTTTACTGTGGTTTCCAAAGCCACAAATGGCAATTTATCAAAGCTTGGAAAGCACATTTAGGAACTGTTTCAGCTTTGCTGGTGTTCCTTGCCCCATTCCCCGAACTGAGATCGAGCTCCCGAAGCTTCCGACCAACACCAATGCATGTTCCGAGGTCCTCTAAGCGAATTCGGCAATCGTTTCAGCAGATCTGGGGCTCAATGCCGTTCGTACACCCGAAAATCCGGCTGCAGATGCTTTGCTGTGGTCTCCAAAGCCACAAATTGCAACTTATCAAAGCTTGGAAAGCACATTTAGGAGCTGTTTCAGCTTTGGCTGGTGTTCCTGGCCCCATTCCCCGAACCGAAATCGAGCTCCCGAAGCTTCCGACCAACACCAATGCATTTTCCGAGGTCCTCTAAGCGAATGTGGCCTTCGTTTCAGCAGATCTGAAGCTCAATGCCGTTCGTAAACCCGAACATCCTTCTGCAGATGCTTTACTGCGGTCTCCAAAGCCACAAATTGCAATTTATCAAAGCTTGGAAAGCACATGTAGGAGCTGTTTCAGCTTTGCTGGTGTTCCTGGCCCCATTCCCCGAACCGAGATCGAGCTCCCGAAGCTTCCGACCAACACCAATTCATTTTCCGAGGTCCTCTAAGCGAATGTGGCCTTCGTTTCAGCCGATCTGAAGCTCAATGCCGTTCGTAAACCCGAAAATCCTTCTGCAGATGCTTTACTGCGGTCTCCAAAGCCATAAATTGCAATTTATCAAAGCTTGGAAAGCACATGTAGGAGTTGTTTCAGCTTTGCTGGTGTTCCTGGCCCCATTCCCCGAACCGAGATCGGGCTCCCGAAGCTTCCGACCAACACCAATGCATTTTCCGAGGTCATCTAAGCGAATGTGGCCTTCGTTTCAGCAGATCTGAAGCCCAATGCCGTTCGTAAACTCGAAAATCCTTCTGCAGATGCTTTACTGTGGTCTCCAAAGCCACAAATTGCAGTTTATCAAAGCTTGGAAAGCACAAGCGAAATCGGATTCCCCCAGGCCTCTGTCCAACCGCATCTGCATTTTCCGAAGCCTCCAAAACGCCTGGGTCCAAAACTAGCAAATATGAGGTTCATGGCGGTTCCTTAGCCCGAAATTCGTGCTTTTGTTCCAGGGAACCGAGGCAACGCATTTGGGCCCTGGTTTTTCAACAAATCTGGAGCTCCATGCCATCCCTTATTAACCCGAAAATCCCATTGGACCTGCTTTACTTTGCGCTCCAGGGCACCACGATGCATTTTTCAAGGCTTGGAAGGCGCATTTAGGAGCTGCAAGTCCATGCAGGTTCTTGTGTGGAAGACATCCATGGCCCTCCTGCTCCAAAAACCCCTTCCGTATCGTCCCCGGTGGTGGGTCGGCTGCGCAAATTCCGAATACGGATCTGACTTTCACTTAGCGTTAGCGGAAGCTGCTGCCATCACCACAGACGGAGAGCGCCCGTGCACTACACCACGCCAAGAACGGGCGACTCGAGAACGACTTCTGCACGTGGCTCCCTCGCCTTCCAAAGCCGCGCGGGCCCAGCACCCTTCCAGTGCTGAGGCCGTCGCAGCTCCCTTCCAGCGGACTCGTTTGCCGGAGGTGCCGTCGCAGCTGGTGCCGTCGCTTGCCCAACTCAGTTTCTCAAACCATTGTGCATTTTATGGCAAACAGGCGGCTTCACTCCCGGCGCTCACACTGGCGCAGAGATTGCTTCAAGCGAAGTTGCATTTGAAGCGCAAAGCTTTGTCACATGGACCTCGACATTGAGTCATGCTTACGCCTTTGCGCGTCATAACCTGCGAAACGACCTCATCACCTGGTCATTATGCCCACTCACCACCCAAGCTGCACAGCCACTTCAAGGCTGCCAGACATGGAGGCACACACCCGGGCAGTGGGCTCTTAAGGGCTTCTGTTCACTCTTACACACCTTCGACCAACCTCAAATGCATTTCTCGAGGCCCGCTAAACGCATTTGGTCCTGGTTTCGAGAAATCTGCAGTTCGTTGCCGTTCCTACACGCGAAGACGCAGCCACCCATAAACCGCTCGAATCAAAGTCTTTTGTTTAATGCCCCGCCCCCATCTACAGCTCCTTTCATGTGAGCCCAACCACATGCATTCAGATGCTGGGTTTATTCAATGGGATTATTAAGGGACCTTCCTCGGAGTGCGAAGAGATGTGACTCTGAGGCCCGACCATCTGAAGTAGTCACTGTCGTGCTGCTTTGCTCACGGCAAGACTGACAACGCATGTGACTGATGATACCGTTCAGGCCCCGCCGCTTGCCCTTGTGCAACGAACACAGGTGCTGTCTATTGAGTACGTTTAGCCGACATGTCAAATGTCTTTGAAGTGATCGTGCATGTGAAGTGCAGTCTTCCTGTGTCACTGTGTTGTTCACTCATGTACTTTGTTCATTTACGCGTTTGTTGGCACTTCGTAAACTCACCTGCTCATGAGCCCTCAAGGTGAATTGGCCGACCGCATTTTCAGGCTCCGGAAGCCAACAGGACTGTGCCGATACCGGTGATGATATCACTGCCCAGAAGCACCCATCACAGACCCCCTTCTGCGGCGAGAGACGAAGATCATCAACATCATCGTCATCATTATCATCCTCGTCGTCGCTGCCGTCGCCATCAGGACCGTCATCATGACAATCGTACACCCAGGAAGATGATTGCAACCATCAAAGCATCTACAGCAATTTTCATGCTAACACTTACTATTCCAACTGTCAGCGATCTTGCTACAAGTACTACTTTTGATTCTAAAGATGTGGTACTTACTGTGTGCTACTAAAGGTAACAAAATTCATATAGTACTTAACACTAAAAGGATAGGGCTATCAAGATAGGAATGGTACTGATAGAAACGAAGCTCTGTCCTCAAGGCAGTCCTCCCGGATGTCCTTCGTCGGCCTGCAACCTCCGCACCGGGGGAACACGATGACACTGGCCCAGTCAGGCAGGAAGATGCTGGTCCCGACATGTGAGAACCCGCCAAAAGTCACCAAAATGCGCACCTGCTGCAGTGCCGTCAACTGTTGCTGAAAGCTCATAGCCCACAGCCGCAGCTCGACGTACTGCAGCCGATGAGCTTTAGCCCACTCTGCAAGCCACATCACCACATCCTGCGAATTCACCAAATCTTTGCATGCTCCGCGAGGCTTCTGCACAAGTGCCAGGTGGGGAAAGGATTCAATGTCATCAGGCGTCCCTTCTGTCAAACGGTCGTACGCCAAGTCTCGCAAGACTCGTAAATGGGTTCCGAGCAGGCCACTGGCGATAGGCTCTTGATAGAGACCGCTCAATCCGTGTGCCGTATTTCCTGAGAAAAGCCCAAAGCGCCCTGAACCGGCAACAAGTCGCGACAAGCAGATCTCTTTCTCTCCACTTCGCTGCAACCGCTCGATGTCAAGCCACGCGAAATCAGATATGATCGACACGAGCATGTCGCTGAAGCGCTCACATGACCGCCTTTTGGTATTGTCTCTATGTCTTGGCACGGCCGGCGGGCTGTTGTAAATGCTTAAAGGATCACAGTCGTCCAAAAAGAGAATCACGCGGCGGCCTCTGCTAAGGAGATCAGGATGAGCAGCGGCAGCGGCGGCAGCATCATTTCATGAGTGCGTGGTAGCCAAGGTTAGAGCTGCCGCTGTGCAAGATCACGTGTGTCCACATGCTCTCGCCACGCGCTGCGGGGCCTGATGCCTGGGCCCCGCCATGCGCACAGGGAGGATCTT